ATACTTCTGGGAATGAAAGACATTGAAATCAGTAACCTGGAACATGCACAATGCATAATTTGCTATAGTATTTTTCTTCCAAAGAGTCTTATGGTTTAAACCAAGGAACAAAAGTATTTCCCAAATTGAAAACATTGCCTAATCTAAGGAAGAGAAGAAATGAATGACCACCTTTATTTCAAAACTAAGTAGTAAAGACATAAATGTACCTCAGGCGATGTTATGTTTGCCCTGATAATCTGAACATTGTCAGAGAATGGAGACAATGGTCTAGTATGTTTCTTAGTTGATGCAGGAATTAGGGAACTTTTGTCATATAAAAATATCACCAGTGTCTTTATTTTATTGAAATGGAAAAGTTTTTCTTAAATAATTTCTGATAAAAAATAAAGATTAATTTGTTCACACCTGCAAATTTAGCTTAGTACAGGACCACAGACAAAATAAGATGTGACATATTTTACATTTCTGAGTCAATCAAATTGATAGCAGCTCCATTTCAGAACAGGACATTATTAACATATGGGGGATTATGTTACATGCCATTTGGGGAAGAAATTAACATATGGGAAGATTTTATTACATAAAACAGAAAACTGGAATAACACGTTGTATAAATTTCTCTAATTGTATGTACTATTTTTACTTTAGTACTTCACTGGCATATGAGGGGCAGTTATTAGGGATGGTAATTAAAACAAATATAGTAGTAACTTAACACAATTATCAACCAACTATCATCTTGCAAGACCAAAACAGAAAGATCTCATTTCAAGTACCCCAGCCTACTGAGAGACATCTAGGTCTTTCTGAAGAAAGGTGTTTGGCGTGATCTGGCAGGATGTAAAGGACAGAGTCATTTATGACGAATACAGAGTTTGGTGAAGTGACACAAATTTGCATTCTGATTATTTTGCCTTCAGCTGTTCAAGTCAGGCTCATAAATGCCCAAATGAGGACAGGACATGGGGTTTCTATACCAGCATGGTACTGTCATGGCTGACTGATAAATTAGAATCCCTTATCTGTGGGGCATGAATAGAGGCATGTCAATTTATTAGAGCCTCAGCTTTGTTTGGTTATTTTTATAAACTCAACATAGTCCTATCTCTTCAATATCTGTGGCAATACTTTTACAAATATGAAGTTATCAGATACAAGTTTGACAAACCTATTGCCAAAGGACTGATACTGAACAGAGTCCCGATTGCATGAACATATAAGAGAAGGAAAATTGTAAGAATATTTTCCTGATAAGTTGTTTTCCCCACTTACAAACATGTAGTCATTTACATATCAAATTTTTTTTTAAGGTTTTTAAGTGTGAATGCCAAAGTTTCCAATGAGAAGCTTGGCTGTTGTAAAAAAAAAAATACTGCCTTCAATTTTTACTTATGAAATGTATGTGGATCAAGCTATACATTTAGATATTGGGAATAAAGTTGAAATTGAAGCATGTCAATAAATAGGCATAGATATCATTCAGTTATTTGAGAGAGTATGATTATAATTTTATTGTTAATAGCAACTATTTTAGGGTCGGCAAGCATCCAGTTTTTTTGATAATTTTTTTAGGGCAAAGAGCATAGCTTCATGTTATGTAGCTCTAACATCAGCTGTGTTTCATTTCAGATATGTAGGAATTCGAACACTAAGTATAAATGACATTTTAAAACTTTTTTACAGATATAACTTAGATGTTGGAACCAATTTGAATAGCGAATTGCTTATTTCACTAAATTAAAGTTTTGTTTTCAGTATATCTCTATAAAATAATTATTCCTACTTTTTTCAGAAAAGCACCAGAAAATTGTCCAGGAAGTTTTTCTATCATTTTAAAAACCAGATGTTACCAAGTGAAATTCTTTTGACTATTTGATAAAAGTAGAACTTTTCAACATCTCAAGAACTTGATTTGTTTTTCATGTCTAATAATTACAGTTCAAATCCATAATAAACACAGAGCAGTTCAAGAAAAGTCTTTATCCAGTACTGGCCTTTCTTAATACAATTATTCTGCACTGAAATTATACATTAATATATTTTAGCTTGGCTTGGAAAATGTCCAATAAAGCCCACACCTTATTGTTGCTTAATATGATCAAATATACACACATCATGGTTTTAAACTTCTGTAACAGTATCGATCGACTTATGTTAGAAAGAATTTTAAAAAATTGTTTACCTGCATCAGTGTACTCGGAGTCTCTAATAGAGGACTTTTGGGTTTTATTGGTTTTGCTGATTTCCTTTAGCCTTGTTCTACCCAGTTCTGTACTTACTTAGAATTGAAGATTTGACAAAAGCTTATGTTCTCCACTCAAATTCTGTAGCTTATATAAAATGACACAATTACATCACCAACTTAAAGTGCTGTATAATAATCCTACTAGACAAAATGGTAGTTTGACATTATTTCTTTTTTAACTCCTAGTAACCTAAAATGATTAAGATTCCCAAGTATAAAGTTAGAATTCTTCTTCTTGATGTGAAATTAACCTATTCATTGGAAATAAATGTACCTTAGCATTAAAGAGACAGGCATCAAAAATTCTGAGACATATATTTAAAATATCTATGTATGTGCATTAACTTTACATTGGATCACTATATTTTTATACTTCACCCACAAAATTCTTATAGTTCTACTCTTTAGAAATTGCATTTAAATCAGTTCTTTTGTTCATAAAAGGACATGACACAATTCAATATGGTCTCAGTTAACGAGATCAAATTCTAATGTACTCAACTTGATGGTGCATATTGACAATCTGACCTGACTTTGGATATATCAGATAACGATCTAATCTGACTTCGGATATATCTGGCAGTTTCCAGAGTCCACTCAACCACTTAGGAAAGTTGGCTTTCTGTCACTGAGAAAGGGGAAAGAAGAGTTGAAAACTGGTCTTCCTCGGTCCTTTCACATCTGAACACTGATGATCCCTCTAAGGAATTCTTTAAACTCTATTATTGCTCACAACTGATATGGACTTTAATAAGGTAACATATGTAAGGTTTGTCCAGTGTAGAGCTGTCTCTCAAACACCATTAATCACTGTAGTGAGCTATACATTTATTTTTGGCAGTAGCAACCTTGTAGGCCACATGAGAATTATATATCAACTCACTCATCTTTCGCTGTAAACCCTGATACTCCCCTCAGAACTAGCAAGGAGGCAATGGAGACATGCAGTATAAAGTTTTCACTTCACCTCCTGAAAGAAGCCTTTCTAGTTATCAAAGCATAATATACAGAGACCAGAGGAGATGCACTAGGAAATAATATCTCTGTTTAAGAAAACCAACAGCAGTTATAAGGTAAAACATTGCATTTTAAGACTTAGTTCAAATAATTCTTGCAGCAATGTCAAGATTATGTGATGGATTTTTTTCTGCGAAAGAAATGGTCTTAAGAAAGAGACCATTAATTAAAATCCACAAACTCAGGGCAGAATCAGATATGGCACAAATGAGGTTTACCTGTATCAATATGAGAAAGTACAACATAGGAACATGATGATGAATATAGTCATTTATTGCCCTCTTCTCCACCCATGGCCAGTTTTCTATTGCTCTTGCCAGGATTGGTTTTTGTTTTGATTTTATTAATTCAGATTAGGAAAGGTAGTATATTTCACATGATCTTGGTGTAAGTCTCCTAATAATAAGTGAATTAGCAACTCCATTATTAACTGGTGAAATGTACATTTTGCTTGAGTAGATAAATAACCTACGATGTTATATATGCCCAAAACAGAAAGAAAACAGAACATTTTTTCTTGATCAAAGTGAAGAGTACCTGTTTTGTTCTCTACAGAAAAGCAGTTTTATTCCTGAAAAGAAGTGAGAGATCATCCTTTACTGTTGAAATGTTAAACCCACTTAGGTTTTAATCACTCTTGCTCCTTTTATTGATTGAAGAATTTAAGGGCAAGGTATTAGTCAACTATTCAAATTTACCCTACTTTTCAGAGACAAAGTCTACGATAAACTGGCTTCCTACAGGCTCACTGCTTTTCACACTTCATGCTCTTTCCTTGTGTAGTTATTAAAGCAGTGGCATTTATGCTTACATATGGAAAGTTAGCCCTACTCAGTGATTTGAAAGGCAGAAGCTTTTAGTCCATTTCAGTCACCTTTCAAATTTATGATGACTTCTTCAGAAAAATCGGACTACAAAAATTGCATACAAAAATAAAGATACTAATTGAAGTTTTAATTTAGTAAAATTGCATGTCTGTTTATTATACACTGGTTCTATGCTTGAGGATTTCATGAGTGCACATTCGCAATATACTTTGATCTTTAAAATTTCATCCTGTTAATTTTTAATCCTGTTTTATTTCCTTCTAATTTCCAAATTAGTATGAATACTATCTCTCCCAAAGCTCCTTGTCAAGAAAATTGTATCTCTCATGATAACGGCAGTGGGTAGCTGTGACAGTGAGGGAGAATCCCCTAAGAGCTAAGAGAGCGACCTTTCCGAGAAAACAATAGTAATGTAACCTGCCAAAAGCCAACCGTGTTTGCTTATGTGACTAAAACAACTGTTAATCAAAGTTTAGAAGGAGAGGTATAATTTGTCATATGTGATCACTTGTTTTCTCAGAAGAGAAATGCAGTAACTCCCCATCAACTGTTTCCCATTTGTCTGGAAGAGCTGGGCAGGGTAAAGCAATGCTTTTTCCAGAGGCTTTTCGCTCTTTCAATGCATTTATATTTGTTTCAATGAAACCAGAGATGCTTACGCTATCACTTTCCTCGCCATGGGTGTGATGCATGGAAGGGTGTGTATAACTATAAATCCACACTACCTTTGGGGATTTTCACAACACCACCGCTGATCAATCTGCTTTGTCAATCTTTATTCATGAAAAAGGCTCCTTCAGGTAAACAGCATAGCTTTATAACAGTCTGAGCTATAATAGATGTTGATTCTATTTTGATAAATATGTTGAGTAGGGGGAAACAATTGACAGAGAATCCACTGTAAGCTCTATGGTTAGGCTTCATCCTTTATTAGGTAGTGAATAAAAGACAATTGATGTTTACAACTCCAATTTAAGAGACCATTTAAACAGAAATGGTTCCATAGCAAAGTGAGGCAGAAGGGATCCAGGTATTTCTGAGTTTTCTCATATGGCTGATGAAGAAAGTATGGCTGATTTGTTTGTTCCCAGCAAATCACTAAAGTCAGTAATACCTTGTGACCCAGGGCTCTGAATCCACAGACCCTGACTTTTACTGGACTGGCTTCTTCACATTGGTGAAAATGGGGAGGATCACAAAAGCACATTGCATCAGTTAACATTAAGTTCATACACAGAGAGGCCTCGACAGATGTAAAAACTGCTGTACAGGGGTGAATATAATGAAAGATCAAAATATTTAATATTGTAAACAAAGAAAAATAAAATTCAAGATGGTTAGAAGCTACTCAAGTGGCACAGAGAGAGCGCAAAGTAACAAACTCATGCTCATCTGACTGAACTAGCCAGCAGGATCTATAGGGAAACAAACAAACAAAAAAAGAGACAGAAGCTAATGAAAGAAGAATAGAAAGGAGAAAAGAAAGGAAAGGAAAGAAAGGAGAAGAAAAGAAAAAAGAAAAAGAAATAGAAAAGTCAGGCAGACAATACTTGCTCAGGTAGTAGGGTCATTGGAAATGAAAGATCACCAGATACAGTACTTTCAGAAACAAATTTTAATGCTAACCAATATGCTTAATGAAGGCATGGCTTGAGTTTTTCTTACCAGAAAACCCCTGAAACACATTTTCTTATTATCTCCCCTGCCTTTGTTCCTTCCTTTCTTCTTTTTTGTTTTAATAAAAACATATAAAGCCAATTGCCTTCAAGACACATTATGTGAGAAATTTCTACAGATAGACAGTGGAGAAATACTCCAAAGACCATGTTTAATGTTGAGCACCAAGCACTGTGGATGTTTCTTGAATACAAAAGGACAAATGCTAAATACTTCTCTATCCAATGTGTTTGCCGTGATTCCTTTACCTCTTTGAAAGTCACCACAGTTTATATAAGAGCGATTTCAGGAAGGCTATGCCAAGCCCTCACTATATTTTTAATAGCCTTTACAAAATCTTTTCAAAAAATAATTTTTCTCTAAACCTAAATCACATAGGATTGACTTGTATATGTATCTTCCTTGATTTATATTTGAGTGTTGTTGTTCTTATTAATGCAACAGACTAGTTGCATGGAAACCCACCATAATGATAGGTATGTGTTCACTTTCTATGGTAAAAAGCAAATAGCCTTTATCTCAAATTAAAGGCACAGCTATTTTATGCCATTCGTTACCAATTTAATGATAACACTGTAACACTGAATGGTTATAGATTTATTTTATATAGATTTTTCTCTTTATAAGTTATTCTCTTACTCTTTCTAACATATATACAATATACATATATTTATATATACCCCTGATAAATCTTGTTTTAAAGGTAAAACATCAACTCCTTTCAGCTTTAGGGTGAATATCAAAGCCTGTCAGTATTTCACAACTCCACTAGAGAAACAGTGGACTTTACCAGTACTAGTTAGCACTTTATCATTTGTGTGCAATTAACTCAAATTTATGTTTGTCACTGTCCTTTTTAAATGCTTATATGTTTATATCATGTCAGTAGAAAATCTTAAAAATCATAAACCCACAACAATAGTTACCACTGCATTCTGTCATCATATCTAATGCAGAAATCTTTGCGACAAGCCTACTGGTATGATATAAGGGCATCCTGCAGGGATACATGGTCTCTGTTTTATAAGATATGTACTGACATGAAAGATCTGCTCTTTGCATCATCTGAAAGATGTAAGATCATCTGAGGTTATGATTGCTCCTTGAAACAGAATGATTGTACTGATTTCTTTCTAAATATCCATGATACATGAGTCTACCTGTGTTCAGATATAAAGTCATTACAAAAAGTTCCCTCTTTCCAGCAATACCTCTTCAGGGTGGGAAGGCAGTACGCGGTAAGAAATTACCTTTATTAATACCTCTCCCACCTTTCAGCAAAACCCTGTTCTAACTCCAAGCTGGACAAGGGGGAAGAATGTTGACCAGGGAGGCCTCCATGACACCATCTGGCGTTTATGTTTTATACCACTTCCTGGTATGAAATAGTTGTTCATTCTACCTTTTACAATTCTTTAAATCCTAATGGCATAGATTGAGACACAGCACTATTGTTTTACAAGACGTCTACTGTATCTACTTTGTTGGGATAAATACCCAGTAACTGCTGTCATAGCAAGAGGACCAACGCGGGTACTACTATTCACAGTGTTGCTTTTGTATTTTTTGTTGTATTTTCCCATTTTTGTAATATTTTAATCTACAGAGTAAATTATTATATATACATTGGAACCAGTTAATGCCCTTAGACAATGTGTACTTGTTTCATAAAGCAGGAAAGACAATGCAGGGGGAAATAGTGCCCAAAAGCACAGTCACGAAGGCTCAGAAGTTCTAGATACCACTAAGAGTCAATGCTGGAGATCACTTCTAAGACAGTGTCTGAGAGGAATGCTTTAATCTGGAGACAGTACCGCTCCCTCCCACCCACCCAGCCCCTCCCTCTTTTAATAATCTTTTCGATTCACTATCAAAAGTCCTGGCTCTTCATATAGACTTTAAACTATAAATAAACACTGCATAGTTCTCTTTTGTTTTGTTTTTCTGTCTTGTGTTTTTGAAAAATTATTGCAGTACAATGACTCCTGCTCGGAATTCAGTAGGGTGCAAACAGCACAGGAGTGTGGGCCGTCCGGATGGGCCCTGGAGCTGGCCGCAGGAGGGCGGGCGGAAGTGCAGAGGTCTGGAACAGGGTGGCTGCTGGAGCAGTTCTGAGACTGAAGGGGGAATTCACAGCCACAGCAGCTGCTGCTGCTGCAGCTGCCAGAGGATTTGGAAGAATTCTGGGAGCCAATGGCTTGGAAGGTTCTTTTGAAAACACTAATTTTACCTGAAAGGAAAAGAAAAGAAAAGGATGAGAACCCAAGTTTTGAAATCTGTACTTGGAATCCAAAATGGTAGGCAGTTTGAAAACTAAATCAGTGAACAACTACAAACACAAGCTCATACTTTGGTACTGATGATAAAGAAAGTAGAAAGTATAAGTCATTTTCCCCTTGGAAGAGAAGGAAAGTAACTAAAGATGATCTCCAAAAATATTGAAAATTATATTTGCACATGAAAATATTAAAGTAAAATAATTTAAAAATTTAAAAAGAATATATTTATTATGAAATATGATAGGAAACTTTCACACTACCTTTTCCATGCACATTAACTATCAAGAAGCAGACATTTTAGAGAGACTCATTACTACTATCAGTGCTATTAGACTGTCCAAATGTGTAAACTGGAGAGCATGAGGCATGTTGCTTCCCGTTGTGTGAGATACCACACACACAAAAACTTCAATAAAAAACGTAAAGAAAACATTTTTTAAAAATTTTGACATGTACTTTTTCCTTGTGCAAATGCCTATCGTGTTCTCTCTGCCTTATTCTACAAAGCTAACTCATTTGCTAAGTTAGTTTGCTAAGTACTATTAACATTAGCAAAATACCTGTTCTCACTAGAGCAAATGTTTCTACTTAAAGAAACATACTGATAGCTAAGGAGGTGTGTTTAGTCTTAATAGTAACACAATTTACTTGATGGTCAAAGCTGCGTCTATGTTGAGAAAACTTGCTGTGTTATGACTTGTGGAGCTCAAATATCAGCTCTGCACAGAATTCTTTATCTCCCAATACAGCTAAAACTGTTTTTGTAAAAAAGATTAACATCTTCATTTTCATAAATGGGGAATCCTGCTAAATTAATTGAGTCAAGCCACAGTGGAGTCTCATAATAAATGATTGGGATTTTCCTAAAACTGTATTTTCATGTGTTAGCTTTACATACTAGCATCAGTTATTAATAAGACCTATTTGAAGAAAACAAACTTCAATATGTATAATTTGGCATATACTACAGTTAATTACTCCTAATGTTTCCCTGAGACCTGGGTATCTATGATGCAAGTGATGATCACCTCGAACAGAAGAAAAACATATGCTCATCAAAACTATCATACAGGGGCTGGGGATTTAGCTCAGCAGCGTAAGTGCCTGCCGTGCAAGCAGGCGGTCGTGAATTTGATCCCTGGTACCGATAAAAAGGAAAAAGACAAAAACAAACAAACAAACAAACAAAAACTATCATACAATATCAGAAGGTTTCCCAGATTGTCTGTAAAGCTCTTCCAAACAGTTCTGGTGAGGATATTCCACTATTGTGCCTTGCAATCTAACCAGGACCTTTAGCATAATGGAGAGAGGGCATTTTTCAGGATTATTTCACAAAGTCTTGCATAGTATCTTTACATGAATACTTAAATAATTTTTTTTTTCTTTTTGAGACACGATCTCACTCTATAGTCCAGGCTGGCCTTGAGCTCACTATGTAATCTAGGATGGTCTTGATCTTGAGGCGATCATCTTGCCAAGTATGAGGCTGTTATAATAGGTGTGTGCTACCACGTCCAGGCTGAAACTATTTTAAAACTTCAAAATTCTTGAGACTATCAATAATACCGATTCTTTGTCTCTTGTATATATTAAATAGCAATTCAAGCGTTTAATTTCACCAACCATCTTTAGATGTTCACTAGTAGCAAGAGTAGAGTTAATGGAACTGCTCATCAAACTCAAGAGTCTGACTTTTCTCCTTCCACTGAGCTCTGAGATAAAACTGAACACAACTCAAAGAGATAAGATACCGGCTTGTGGCTAGAGATGGCAAAACACTGAAACGAATTATGAGACCAATAATTCTGTGGTGGAGTAGAGACTGAACTCAAGAATTAACTGTAACTTGGGTACAGTCTATTATGTTTAGTAACTCACCTCCCCTCACCACAAACACATACCCAAAGAACATATGAATTCAGCAGACTGTGGGATGTTAAAGATGTTACACTATTTCCTCGCAAGCACAAATGACACTCACCCCCAGTGGATGTGCTGCTTTCTGTAGTTTGTTGTAGGGACTGTATTTAGGTTTTGGAGGTTTCCCGGCAGCTCTGTCTTTGTGCCTTCTACTGCTAATGTGCTGTTAAAAGCAATTAAAAATGACAGTTGTATAAATTAATCCCCCAAATTATCTAAATACTGTTTAACTAGGGGAAGATAATAATTATTTCATGCAAGTTTTAGACAAAAATAAAAGAACATGCACTTTTTCCCTTGATTTGTGATGCCTTGGGGATCTATTTTTATGTTGTCTGTTTTTGTATATTTTATCAAATAAAAGGATCTTCTTCTTCTCCAGCTGTTTTTGCCTTATCATTGCACACATCTCCATTTTTAGAAGTGTTTATAAAGGAAAGAAACGTCTAAAGGAATTTTATGTGCAAGTAAACAAAGATACCCAGGCAGGCATGAATTTATTTCCACACCAATATACATCCCTACATTTGCACAGCCAAATGTCAACCCCTTAAATTGGAAGGATAAATAACTAATTATATAAAATCAGCAAAATACCATATATATGTATACATGTGTATATATGTATATATATATATACTAGAACACAGTATAAGAATTGGACTTGCAGTTGGAAATGTACTTGATCTATTTAGAAGGCTATTCAGAGTACACATGAATGCAAAATGATTAGACATGCTTCAAGCAAATGGCTGCAGAAATATAGTATGATACTGTGTAATAAAGTATATACTCCACGATGGCACACTACAAAATGAGTGTGGCATGCAATATCTAAAAATTAAAAATGGAACATTGCAAATTGATCTTTTAATGAAAATCTACACTTTTGGGTGGCAAACCTGGTAAAGAGAACATTTGATACTCTTTCTCTTCCCACTATTCACACACAACAGTATAAAGTGATTGCCAAGAATTTACAAAAGGTCCCACAAGCCATTGCTTTTTAGTTATTTTGCAAAGACAGTGAATAGAGGATAAGTGGCTAGGTAGGTGGAGGGATACATGGGGAAAAAGTCAGAAATTAAAAGGAAGAATGAAAGGGTATACATTCTGGCTATAAGGGTGTCTCTAATTTGTTTTCATTCCCAGATGTGCGTTACATGCCTGTTTCAGCTGTGTTTCTGAGTTGACGTGCACATCGCAGATTTCACAGTGAAACGTTTTGTTCTGGAGGCCTGTGTTTCCCTTATTAACAGGTCCCTTGCCTTTTACTCCTGCCCGAGGAAAGGCTTTGATGGTCCCGCTTCCATTTCGTGCTTCTAGCATGGTTTTGTGCTTGGTACCTGTGGGAATATTTAGAAAGAAATAAAAAAGAGGAATCTTTATTTATAACTTCAAGAAACATTATAACAAGATTTGATGCTTGTTTTGGTGCAGGTATTCCAGAGATTAAGACTGAAGTATGTGCACAGGACAGACTATAACAGTGTACTCTTATTAGCTAACATTATTAAATTATTGATTTCAAAAAAATGTTCCATGTTACAAGCAAGCACTATCAATATAGTAAACAAATTTGAGAGCTTGGAGGCAAAAATAAATAGGTGTGCCTTGGTTTTATTTTCTCTTGAAGCTAATAAGATGTAAATGATAAGTGATGAAGGAAAGCACTTTACTTGCTAAAGATATAGTTGGAGGTGATGTGTAACAAATACAATCAGTTTAAACATGGTGTGTTTACAGAAATGGCACTAATTAAATACCCATTTTCTACAGAGAATATAAACATGCTTTCTTGAGTGTGTTTTTTAGAGAAAGAGTAAAAAGAGAAAGAGTAAAAAAGATCTGAATGACTGAAAAACCAGCCACATTAGGAGAGTAGATCCCACACTGGTAGGCTATGTCATTTCAACTGCAAACAAGTGAGGGGAGAATTCACAGGCTAGGAAGAAACGTTACAAATTAGTGTGTGTAATTTTACTAAACCATTAATATATTCAGGCTGCCATAACTCAACTTATCAGCTACTAATATATTTTTGAGATCACCATGATTGTTAACAGTTCATGATGGTATCTTTCCTTCAAAAATTTACTTAAATTTTCCCTTTTTTTTTTTTTGAGTTGATAAGTATTTTTTTTCTTAGTTAGTGATTTTTAAAATTCTTATTTAGTAGTTTTGTTTCTTTATGTTTATTATATGGCTGGTTAGTTCCACAAACATTTGAAAAGATTCTTAACTTACAAACTAAGGGACAGCCCTCCAGAACCAGAATGTTAATGAAGACACCATGTTGGGAGCACTGTAGGTCCATATAGGTCACATGTTAAGTAATAGACAAATTCACGAAGAAAGCCTTACAGACTCTTTTCTCCTTCATTCAAAATGACCATCACCTTACTCTGTCTGTTCCAAGTGATGATTTCTCACTTGAAATATCCATATTCCTTTGCATAGCTGCTAAAATTCTTGTATGTCAACACATTAAGGAAAGAAAAAAACAGTTGGCATCATGCAGAAATATTGGCAAACTGGAACTTGGAGCCACACATCAGCACCACTGTGGAGGCTGTGATTCCTCCCTGAGGTTTACTTTGGGCCATCTCACTTGTAATACTAGCGCCTTCTACTTTGAAGGTGTCTGAGTCAGAGAAGGAGGAGTGGGCGGGATGCCCTAGGGAGCAAACAAAAGAAGTAGGTGGTTGTCCAAATTTCTATGTCTAAACAGATAATCCTATATTAAAAAAAAATTTTTCCTGTGCAACTTTTTCCTGTGCAAAATGGGCTCATGCATTGGGCAAGTTTGATTTATGAATGATTAAAAATCAGTAGATTAATTTTCTTCTAAATTTTCTTCCAGGACTGCTAGTTCCTTTTTGGACTGATATCATTCATGACATGGAGCTTGTGTTTGGCAATTGGAATTCACTTACTCTCTCATAACCATATACACTCACAATTAAGGATGTGGTAAGGTCTGAGAAAGACTTTTACTAATAACTTTAACTCTAAGATTACTATTTATCACATAGAATTCAACTTTTGTGCAGTATAACCTTGTGTACTTAGTAACGGACTGCCATACTGAAATAGCTGTTTGTTAATTTTATAAGATCTTAAAATTTCAATAAGTTTTAAGTTAGATGTGTTTCCTCCAAACACAGCTAAAATGCAGTAAAAACATATTCTTAATTTGCATGTATTTACATGTTTTATGGGTAAAATATACATAAATATATGAACAGTAATTATTAAAATACATTAAAGCTTTAATCACTTCAGATGCTGCACATTTTTCCTTGATCACAATGGCTGTATGAATAATTCCCAATGTACAGATAATAAACTGAGATCTAAGAGGTTAAATTACTTGCCAATAGTCACAGTGCAAGCAGTACTTGAAGAACCTGGTAAGTACAAAGTAGATTGCTAGCTAAGCCTTTAGCAAACCATTCAGGATTACTAAAACATTTGGAGGTGGTTACATACAAATGTACCATAGTAGCTTAACATTTTCTTCTTACATATTAGTGTAGTCTTCTAAAATTTGATTCTGTCTTTCAGTTTCCCCTCACCTCTCTTATTCTCAGTGTTCTTTTCTGCTTAGCAGATTTCCATGCATCATGATAACTTTGAAAGGCTGTGGCTTTGCTTAAAATGGTTAGTGGTATCTGTCATCCCTTGTTTTCAACATCCTTTAAGTATCTTGCAGGTCTCCTGCCTTCTCCTTGACCTCTCAGCATTGTGGGAACACGTCTGTTTCTGCATTAGATTCTTTCCTTCTCTGAGGAGAGCAACAGCAAGAAGCCAAATGGACGATTTTCCTCTTGTCAATTTTAAAGGCTGACACTAATGACAGCCTTCATTTGAAGCTTAGTGATTTCAAGAAACAGACACTGTATTCCAACCGCAGTTTAAATTCAGCAAATCATAAGGCTCCAAAACAGTTTTTGCTTATTTATTTAGTCAGGATGAGGTATTTATTGCTCATATATTTGTGTAAATCAAAGGCATATTGGGAGAAAGAGGCTGGTCTTCCTTTCATTCTTCATTATCTATATGACTTTTTTTTATTGTCTATAAATTTAAGTACTACTAAAAAGCAAAGTTTGTTAAGAAGAAAAATCAACAAATGATTTTTTAATTGGTAAAATTTTCATTACAAATAATTTATTAAGTCATTAGACAAATAAAGAAAATTTCAAAAATGAAAACAATAAATGTAATTTTTATCAACCAGAAATATATCAAATTCTTAATAATGGTTGTCAGGTACTGAACTTTTATTTTTTATTTGTATGTGTGTATTTTCAAAAGTTTGAATAACCTAGCTGAAGTAGGGTCACATAAGAAATTATTGTGGAATCACATTTGCATATAATTTTGGAAAGGCACGTGTTTTTAATAATAACACAGACCTTGCAATATAGATACTTTAACCACTTATCTAATATTTATCGTTTGTATTCTTCTTATTCCTACATAACTAGGAACATAATACTCATGAAATCTTGTATCAAATATCTGATAGTTTCCTTAGCATACATTTTTTCTAAATGGTATTTTAATACCATTTAGGTTAAATACCTTTAGGTTAAAAAAAAAAGACTATTTTTAAGTCTCTTGATACAAACTTCCTAAACATGACAACAAAGCTTCAGAGGGATTTATTTTACAGGAAAATCTGTCTTGACATTGTCTTGAAAGTTTGATCCTTTATGAAACAAATTTCAATAATTTTCTAGAATGCCACTAGTGCTGTTATGTCTAATAGCAGTTGACTGGATCCTTAACAAACTCATGTAACTGCCAACAAAAATTTGGCTGTGATCTCATCGACAAAGTCTGTGATTCCATTTTTATATAAATGTACAGGAAACTGAACAATATCCATACATATGGTAAAGTGCAAGTACAGTTTTCTTTTATGTGTCTATGTTACTCAGTAGAATAGTGTTAGATATCAACTCTTGTGTGCATTAATTCAGAAAAGCTGTCTTGAATCTATATATTCAAAATAAATAAGAAGCATTAAACTTCTCCATATACTTTTATATACCATTGAATATCATTTTTATGACACGCCTTTGTGTTTTTTTTATTTGTGTGTTTGTATGGGAAGTGAACTCAGGACCTTGCACTTGCCAGGTGAATGCTGTGCCACTGAACCATACTCCCAGAAAATTTACAGCATTCCTAAAAGTATGTATTTTTTCTATACTTGATCCTGTGCAAGAGGAGGACATGGAGGTGGTATAAGTAGCCACCCTGGAAGGTGGTGGCCTGTGTGCAGTATAAAGGGAGAAAAAAGGCTTGTTGTCTCCTCTTTTGCTCTGGCTGCTTTTGCTGGCTACGGCCTTAAAGTGTTGCCCGGGTGCCACACCATCCTGCCTTGGAGCCAGTGATTACGGACTGAAACCTCCACAAACAGTGAGGTTTCTTTCCGTCACTTTGGGTGTCAGGTACTTTGCTCCAGCAATGAGAGAAAAGTAACAATGAAAGAAAGGAAATTACTACAGAGGAAAATCGATCTTTGTTCTTAGTACCAGAAAAGGTCATAGAGAGAAAACTGTGAAGTTCAGATGCAAAGAGAGAAAATCTACATAAGAACCCAAAGAAAGCCCAGAGAAGGGTTATGCAGGCCCACATCCCCAGAAAGCAGAGAACATGACTGCATGTGACAAGGTCTACATGTAAAACTATGAAATCCATACAGCAATAACTTAACGTCTAAGCATGTGAGGAAAAATGTCAAGCACCTGAGAAGCTTCTTCTACCTCAGAGGCCCTGAAACTCTGAGCAGGAGGCTTTTCCTGAGCTCTTTTGTAGACTGTCTGTGCATGAAACAATGTACATTTACCTCGGTGCCTTTAACAAAAAAAGGCCCTTAAAAACCTGGAAAATATAATGTTGCCTTTCTATCCAAAAGTCTTCACCTAATTCACATTTATCATCAATATACAGACAAATTAGTTGGCTGTTGTGGTAGAAACTTTGAAGGGTGAGGCAGCAGAAAAGCAAGTGCAAGGCCAACTTGGGCAAGTTATGAAGCTTATCTCAAAAATAAAAGAGGCTGGAGATGGAGCTCTTTCCAAGGGCCTGAGTTCAATCTAACAAAATCAATGTACTGAATCAAGTAAGTCATATTTTCATAGTAAAAGTGGGAAATGATACAATTGCAACTATTTGTGAAAGCAGTGTTTTTACATTTTATGTAAACTAGTTTTGCTTGCTTATTTCTTCTTTTTTAATGACAGTAAGAGATGCTCATGATAAGAATTGCAAAAAATAAAAACAGATCATAAAACACAGGCAAAAGTCTTCCCAAAACAATTTTAAGCCT